TTACATTTAAAAGGAACCCCATCTAAACGTAGCACGTTACTCGATGTTTTCTACTTCTATGAAAATGTATGAAACTTAAATTTATTTTATTGAGGATTAACTTATTTTGAAAAATTTCTAGTAACGTGCAACGTTATGAGTTAATTTTTTATTTGTTTTAATTATTCCAATTGATCCAGTATTATTACAAATTATTATTTATTCAAAAGTTTTAACAGGAGTATGCAATTTACTTATATAATAATAATACATATTTATTTAATAATAATAAATATTTTAACAACCCAAAGGGTAAGAGTACAGTAAGTGTAAACTAAAAATATTGCTAAATTAACAATTGAAAGTACCTACTAATAATAATAAAAAAAAAAAAATAATAATAATAATAATAATAAACTACAATTTAACCAAATTAAACTGCATTACATGTTAAACATCAACAATTAAGTTATAAATACAAGTTTTTTAGCTTAGAACAGGATTCGAGAAAAAAATCAAAATTATGTATTAAGTTACATGATGTTGGTAGGCGGCACACCAGACTATTAATTAAGTAATTTTTATTTGAATGAGGAATAGAAAAGGGTGGGCTAATTAATCTTGAACTAAAAGAAGGTACTTTGTAATAACTCAGGACAGTCGATACCACCATTCAAGATTTTATAGACAAACGTGATATCATTTACTAATCTTCGTGTTTTAAACAACCTTAAACCCACAGAGCTCGATATCTGTAACTATAACTTAAAATTCTAAGTCATTAGGTATTTTGTTATTCAAACAAATATCTTACGAGTTTTCAATGTTTTAATTTTAATTTTATACAGATTTTTTTTCTTTTAATAATTTTGTTTCAAGTTAAGATGTTTTTTGTACAAGAATTAATCCTAAATTATGTTTTTCAGAAGGCTTAAAAATTGCTGGAAAAGGGGCATTAACATCTGTAAATAACCTTAAACAAGTTGTACGAAGGGTTCGGCGGCATAATGGTCCACAAATCCCTGTTGCCCCATTAACATTGATGGAATTAGAAATCCCTGAAGAATATAAAGAGTATGAAGCTGAACCAGGGCAGTTTGAAAATTTTCTGCTCTGTGATACAGGACCTGGCCCTAATAGGGTTTTAATATTTGGACGCCAAAGAGGATTAGAGGTATAAAAGTGAACATATTTAACGTAGTATTTGGATTGTTTTACGAATAGAAAAAATGGTATTTTAAAATAATATATTATACACTATTCTACTGAAGATAATTATACCTTGATAATAATTAGATTTATTACATTATTTAGACTTTTTAGAAAAAAATAATTTAAAATATATTCATTTGTATTTTGTATGTTATAATTTAGATACTTGCGACAAGCAATGAGTGGTTTGTGGACGGAACATTCAAGATCGCCCCAATCCTCTTTTCCCAGGTTTTTGTTATATTAGGCAGTCGCAATGGTGGTGTCCATCCATGTTTATATGCACTTTTGCCAAATAAGAACCAGGCAACATATAATACACTTTTGGTGGAAATTAAAAATCTAGCTCCAGGAATAAACGCTGGAAGCATTTCTGTGGATTTCGAGGTCGCAATTCATAATGCTTTTAGAACAGAATTTCCTGACATTGAAATAAGAGGATGTTTTTTTCATCTTATACAAAATATGAAAAAACAAGTTGCAGCTGTAGGATTAATGGCGTAAGTTATATGTTTAATTTTATTTAAATGGAACATTATATTATGATAAATTAATCATAGGGTTTAGGTAATTTGAGAAATATAATTCAGAACAATGCTTTTAAATCACAAAATTTGATTCATATATAATAGAATTAAAATTTTAAAAGTTTAACAAATAAAAAGCATTAAGAGGACGTCAAGGAGGACGTTAACCCACATGTGTTGTCTCTGTTCTCTTTTAAAATATATATATGACATGTTGGTTCTAGTTTTAATACCTACTAAATTAATACATAAATCCCTTTTGAATAATTGGGTATAAAAATAAGGCATGCATATTAATTTAGTAAAATATAATACCTAAATTGATATACTTAAATATAACTCCATTTTAGAGAATACAGAAATGATCCAGACTTCAATTTACATGCTCGGATGATTACGGCGTTAGCATTTGTCCCTCCAGAAGATGTAGCTGCTTGTTTTGAAACGCTGAGCATTTTTATCGAAGCAGTTTTTCCATCATTACAGCCAATCCTTGATTGGCTAGAAACTTATTATATTGGAATGCTCAGAAGGGAAGGTGTAAGGAGAACACCAGTTTTTCCTATTCCCACTTGGAATCTATATTATAGAGTTTTAGCAGAACAAATGGTATGTTACATTTAAAACCCTTTCTTCTTTCCTTCATATGCAATTAGGAAAAATTAGATTTTATCTGAAAAAATAAAAGCAAATTAATTTCTTATCTTAAAACAACATTACAAATGTATCTTTTATACATTTTAATTTCCAGTAAAAGCCTTTTTTTTTAAATTAGTATAAATGAATATAAACAGTGTACGGTACTATACTCTTTTCAGAATAAGAACGCACCAGACGGCCACGGGCAAAATCGGTTTTGCTATGTAAATCTGGTGCGTTCTTATTCTGAAAAGAATCTATAACAAAAAAATATTCAAATGTGAAGTTTAAAAAGGTTAGATGAGCACATGTATTTTTGTAGAGGTATACAATCTCAATAAGTTATCTAAAATCTCTCAACAATTTAAAATTTAAAAAATATAATCCATTACAAAAATATGTTAACTTTTTATCATTTTCATTAAGATTATAAATAAATTACCATCATAATGTATAATTTAAATATTTATACAAAAACTGTTTAATTCCTCAATAACAAAATTATAATAATTTATGTACCCGTATACATAATACATATTATAATATTATAATTTTTCTTAAATTAAAACATATAAATAGTAATGATATGAATAGTAATATAAATTATAATGATATAAAGTTATAGGTAATATTTAGGTATATAAACATTTTTACATTATTTAAATGTTTAAATTCATATTCTAATTATGCAAGTTTATGATATCCAATAAATCATCCATAACAAGTTAAAACAAACTAATTAATTAACTTTAGTTAATAACTAATATTATAAAAATATATAATATATAATATTACCTTTCAGTGTTATTATACATATTTAACTCACTATAATCATATTACTGGAGTTACATTTTAAATTAGAATAGTATAATTGTAGGTACTTACAAATAATAATAATAATTTTTGTTTTTTGTATTATGATTTGGTAATCTGTGCAAACAGAAAACGAATAATATTGCAGAAGCATCTCACAGGAGACTCCAAGCACAGTTGAGCATGTCAAACCCAACAATTTGGAAATTTATAATAGAACTCAGAAAAGTGCAAGCAGAGCGGGATATCTATTATGAATTCCTTGTTGCAGGTAATCAACCACCTCCTTCAAAAAGAAAGTTTGTTGATGCTGGAAATCGTATTCTGCACTTAGTTCAAAACTATAGAAACCGCCAAGCCATCGAGTACCTAAGAGGATTGGCACATAATTTTATAATGGATCAGTAAAACAATAACTAAATAATTCATAATAATATATCTAAATTTATAAAATACCTTTTAACATTTTCCTTTGTATATTGAATATAAATACTCATTAAATGCACTCCTAATATCTCCTCCAATTAAATTGTTAACTTTAGTTACAAGAAATCAAGGATTCGACTTTTTTCATGAACAAAACATCACCAGATTTCTTACAATAGAAGGTAGAACCACAGAATAGATGAAATTCACCTGGTGCAAATTGTATAAATGATTTTGACCAAATATTATGCTCAGTTGAGCCATCCTCTAGTAAATCTCTTATTCTAGAAGAACCAAACAAAGAACTATTTATGTTTAAAGGTATTCCTGTAGGTACAGTTGACTACAGACATTTAGATTTACCTGAAATAAACACATTTACCTATGTGTGTGGGTATTTAATGAAAAAATGTCTGGAAAAACATACCTGTGATATTTGTATTGAGTATGCTCGGTACCAAAAACAATTGGATAAATCCTTTCTACTATCATTTATTAAAGCATATTCTACTAATAACCATTCCACATTTGGAAATTTGATGATGCCAGATGATGATTTTTATAATTTTATCTTTGAATTAGAGAATATATTCATCAATAACTTTCCCTCTATTGCCTATGAGGAAGGCGTTGGGGCTAAGTTGAAAATTGATTTTTCTAATGTACCGTATGATCATCCCTGTGAATATTTTGAAAAATCATATTTAATAAATTTATTTACACGCTTCAGAATTTTTACAGGTATCAAATTTTTAAACAGGGCTTTAGTTTCAGAGAAGAAATTGAAAAATAGAAAGTTAACAGTACTACAACATTTATAAAACTATTTACCTTTTTTTTAGATTCTGAGCGAAGCGATGAATGTATTGATTTTACAATGATGTGTGTTTTTTTTTTTATTTTTTTATTTTTTATTTTATTTTTTATTTTTGTGTCCGTCATACGAAAGCGTAGTAGTGCCAACTAAAAAAAAAAAATATTTTTATTTCGACTTTTAAATTCGACATTTCGATTTTTAATTTCGACATTTCGACTTTTAAATTCGACGTTTCAACTTTTAATTTCGACATTTCGAGTTTTAAATTCGATATTAAAAATAATGTCGACTTCCAAAGTCAAAATTTCAATAATGTTGACTTTAAATTTTGACTTTTAAATTCGACATTTCGCCTTATAATTTCGACATTTTGACTTGTAATTTCGACATTTTTACTTTTATTTTGACTTCCAAATTCAACATTTTTATAAGCATATTTATTTTGTCATGACTTGAGCATACTTTGTCAGTTACTCACGCACTCTACCTCGACATTTTTAAGTCTTTTAATTCTACTATTCTCTCACCTCTGTAGTCTGTAACATGCAAGTGGCAACAGCATAAGTAATAAGTATATACAGCACATAATGTCCATAAATAATTTGATAGAAAATTATTTTCACATGAGTTTTAGTTACAATGAAATATTAACACATTTGTCAAGCAATGGGATAGATATAAGTCTTCGTACACTCAAACGAAAATTGAAGAAACTTGGTTTGTACAAACGCATTAATTATACGCCTATGAATATAGTGAGAGAGTATCTAGAAAATTGTATTCTGAGTTCAAATCAACTGCATGGTTATAAGTGGATGCATCGAAAATGCATCGGTGTTGGATTTGTTGTGAAACAAGAAACTGTTAGGATTCTTTTAAAAATTATTGATCCTGAAGGTGTAGAAATTAGAAGTCGGAAGAGATTAAGGAGACGACAGTATTATAATCCAGGCCCAAATTATACGTGGCATACTGACTGCTACGACAAACTTAAACCCTATGGAATATCTATAAGTGGTTGCATCGATGGATTCTCTAGATTAATACTTTGGCTGGAAGCTGCACCTTCTTGTAGTGATCCCAGAGCAATAGGAAGTTTTTATTTAAATACGGTAGAGGCATTAAGAGGATGTCCTATTACTTTAAGATTCGATAAAGGTACTGAAAACCGCCACATTGAGCAATTTCAACAGTTTTTGCGTAGGAATAATACTTCTCGTCGCCCATCGTTTTTATATGGAACCAGTCCTTCTAATCAGCGAATCGAATCCTGGTGGAGTATTCTAAGGAAACATTTCACTCAATTCTGGATGGACGTATTTTGTCAATTAAAAAATGATGGACTATTTAGTGGAACATTTCTTGATAAAAACCTGATCAGATTTTGTTTTTTAAACATTATTAAGGTAATTAATTAGTGTTATTTTATCTATTTGTATTTAATTACCTATTCATTTGGGAATATAATATAACTATAAGTAATAACTAATAAGTACCTATGTATGAACTCTGTGAACATTAAAATAATTTCTCCAAAATGATTCACTTATATGCATCTACTTCTATCTTAAATTCTAAAACTATTAACAAATTCTCAAACGATTTACTATTATTTTGTCGTTATTCAAAAACAAATAAGTATTGAAATTTTCATCAACTGTTTATTTTATAATTTTCTTTAAATGATACAATTTTCAAAATATTTAATATTTTGACTTGTTTTGAGACATTTATAGACATTTGGAAATTTCAATATGCTTGAAAATTTAATACAGAGTTCCTTATAAGTAGGCAGTTATAAATGTATAATATCAATTGAGAAATATTAAAGATCTATGCACTTTTTTTTGTTAGTATTTAAACTTTAAAGTTAAAAATTTGACATTAACCAAAATCTCGAAAATTTCAAATTATTTTGTAGTTCAAAATTATAAAATGTTTAATATTTTTTATAGGCAAGAATTTAAAATTTAAAACAACAATTCTCATATCAATAATTCTTAACTAACCAAATAATCTAAAAATATATAAACACAGTTATTTCTTACAGGCATTTTAAGTTTAAATTTGGACGAGATTACAATATTTAAAAAACCAACAAAAACAATTTTATTTACTTTGTTGTAACTTGTAATTTAAAAATATTATTAGTGGGTATATCATATTTGAAACGCTTGCGAGTATATAGTTATATTTTATACACAATGAAATTTTAAATTTTTTTGCAAAAATTATTTTAACTTACTAGTTACTGTTGTACAACTTGTACTAATGGTAAAATAAATATATAGACAGATTGTCTTTGGTGCTCAGCATCGTTTTTCGTATACAATGGTTTTAAATAGTGACACACTTGTAACTTACTGTACAGCAGGCTGCAGCTGTTGAGCTTACCCCTGGGCTGCACCTCAAAAAAGTGAGAAAAGTGACAATTTGTTTTTTTTTTTGGTTACTAAAAGTGACTATTTAAATTAGCACAAGCAATGCAAAAAATCTGTGTATTTGAATACTTATCCCCCTATGTTGAAATCTTATTATTACAAGAATCTTTTTTAAAGAGCCACGCATCTTGAACTGTAAATTTTCCCATGATCGGATAAAAATATGGCTTAATTTGATACACACCAATAACAAAAACAAAAAATAACACCAATTTACTTGACAAATTGGAAATTTTTGTCAGAGTAAAAAAAACTTAAAACTTTAACTACTAAATAGTAAATATTAAATAAATTAAAGAAGATTACAACTAGGTAGTCATAGTAATATATATATACATTAAATATATTGGTTATAGAGGCACACAACAGTGTTCAATACATCAATAGGTCACAGGCATTGGTCAGTGGTCATACAATAATACCAGCAAACCTTTTTTTATTATAGTCTCTAAAACAACCACAGAATAGGTGAAATCAGAATGCACAATCTCTAAAACCTATTCTGTGGTAAAATAACGGAGTAAGGCCTAAGATACAGTTAGTATGATATTCTATGTCTTGGTCTGTATGTAAAATTAAATGAACAGAATTTTAAAAATTACATGATTAATTTCGGTTTCTGTCTCGAAACATTAAAAATTGTCAAAAAGTGAGAAAAGTGACAGAGTTACAGATCTGTTACCCGCTTTTTTTAAATTTAATATTATTACCTATATTAAATATTCATTAATATTAGTAGTTGTTTATTATATTTTGTCAATAAAAATTATGAAATTAATATGGATCTTTTACAGAAAGAACTCAAAGAAATTATGCAAGAGTGGAATATACATAGAATCGGAAAATCTAAGAATAGTATATGTTGTTATGGTCGACCCATAACTATGTTTGAAATCCCTGAAGAGTATAACACCATAGACTTTATACATACAATTGAAATCAGTGAATTACAACTCTGCAAAAATGAAAACATGTATTCTACAAACATATGTTGTGATGAAACTGTTTATGAACTCTGCAATATTATCCTAGCAGAAAAAAGAATTGCTATACCTGATGATCCTTACAGCATTATTGATGTATATATTATGTTAAGAAATACAATACAAGAAATAATAAATTAACACTTAAATATTTCAAATTGCTATCATTTATTAAAAGTTAAGAGATGAAAAATTCAAAACATTATATTCTATGCTATGTCCATAACCCAAATATTTGACGCTAAAATTGAATTTATCTCGCTTCTCAAATCAATAAACTTGTCATAAGACATTGGTAAATCTAAAGTGTTTGTACATGTATGTGCCACTGGAGATCTAGAATAATTATCTTTTGCAGAAGTGAAATTAATATTAATCTGATCAGTGATAATATCTGACCCAGTAACAAAACGAAGGAACTTTGTGCATAACATTTGATCAGCTTCTCGTATAAACTTTTTTAAAAATCCAAACACTTTACGTTTAATTTCACTTTCATCTTTATCTGGACACTGGAGGTTTTTCAATAAGTTAGTCGACGTTGGTATCTTATTTATATACATTTCTTGTAAGGATATTTATGATATTATTGGAATAACTTTATTTCTTAATTCTTCTGACCAAATATCAATTATATATTTGGGTCGCTGTATAATTTCTTTGTGTGCAATTTCAGAAATAACATCTTTGATATTTTTTTCATTCACTATTAATCTGCAATCAAATTCTTGAAGTATATCTAATAATTCATCTTCATCGATTTGTTTAAAATCTTTAAGAGCATTTTGCAAAACATCTTTGGATTTAAAAGGAAGTGTATTCAAAAAACCGTCAACTAAATCTTGATTATTTACAACAGTACCACAGATCACATATTTCATGAATGGTAACGCCAGACTTAGAGGAAGATACTGGATGTCTCTCCAACCAATAAAAATTATTTTACTAATTGCTCGCCATTGTTCGTCCTGAAAATCATGTCTGATGATAGGTATTTTCCAGTTACATCCCGTAGTGGCCAGTTCATAAAAACTAGACCAAAATTCGGCCAATACATCTTTAAAAACTCCGCCAATATCAATTGCATTTTCTACACTCCCGTTGGGTAAAATCAGCTCAAATTGAAATTGAGGATACATTTTAATATGTTTAAAAGCTTCAATTAATTCATTGAAAATACGTCCTCTGTGTAGAATTAATTTTGTTTTCTCTTCTAACGGTGGTGCAGTATAATAGTTATGGTCTACAAGATTGTAACGTATTTGCTGTTCCACATTAACATCAGTTATTCCTTCTTCGTTTTCTAATGATTCATCAATGTTATATCCATCAAAAATGTTCTCAAAATTATCATTGTTTGCCAACCACAGTGGTGTAGGTGAATTTGAAGGTGATACGTCAAACAAATTTTTTGTTGAACCACATGAACCTGAAACTATATAATCAGACACTGTTGTTTCTGCCTTAGATTTTGAATCATTTGAAATTTTGTCTTTAAGATCTGTTGCCAAATAAAATCTCAATGAATTTAATCCTGAAAACAATCAAACAATATAGTTAAATTTATTACTATGATAAACACAATAAAACTAAGATAAACGTATAAACGTATTCATCAGATAAATGTATGAAACTGTTGGGACTTTTTTTTGTAAAAAAACTGGGAGTACCTAACCTAATTGGTTCCCATTTGGTCGAATTGGTTCCCGTTCAAAAAAGATATTTTAATTAGTTGAGCCGAATTGTTTCCAGTTTGTGTACAGGTAAAATAATTACAATTTCAATTTTTAATAATTGATAGTCTATAGCATAAAATACAATAAAACGGCAATAGATTGTTAGATTGGAGGTTTAGCAAATTATTGCTGATACACCGATTGGTTAAGATAATGATAGAGATTATACGTATGTAGGTACTTAATTATATTAAAGTTTGAAGAAATAATACAAGAAAACTTACTATCAAATAGGAGAGAAATAACTAATAATTGGAAAGTTTGCTTAAAATTTCAAAATCAACGATTTTTAACTGTATTTATTATATTTTATTATTTGTATTTCGTGCACTTCCGTTCCAAATCAACGATTTAAACTTTTATATATTATACCTATATTTTTTTTCTTTTTAACACACATTCACGCACATTTTTAACTAAGTCTACTTCAACGTCGACTGTCCTAAGTCTGTATAATGGAGAAAGAAATGTGCTTGATTAAACGGGAACCAATTCGGCTCAACTTAATAAAATACCTTTTTCAAATGGGAACCAATTCGGCACGTGGGGTTGGACATCGGGAACCAATTCGGTACCAGCCAAAAAACTAAGATAGTGTTTCATTGTACTAAGAGTGTACTAATTAGTCTATTATTATTTAATTATTAGGTACCTGTTTTTAAATATAACTCGGCCACGGATAAGTCACCAGGCAAAACATTCCGTTGAAAGTCAAATAAATCGGTTTTAAATTGTTCAATTGGTCCAAAGTTAGATGAATTACCATTAGGGAAAAATAATTGTATAGCTAAATCAATCAGGTCTGATTTTACAAAATTTTTATTGACGTGTACTTTCCTTGTACCTCCACCATATCTAGTTCTGACCTAAAATGTATTGTACATAAAATTAGTAAAAAAATATATTAAACCATTGATGAAATACAGTCTCATAAAGTCATAACTTTAGGCATAAAACTAATATAAAGAATTAAGTTTAGGATAAATTAAAGAATACTAGCTGGACCTGGCAATGCGTTGCTATTGCTAGGTTTTTTTTATTATGCGAGCAGTATATTATTAGGTAGGCAATCTACTTGTGGTAGATCATGGACACCGCGTGGTGCACAGGTAACTGTATAATTTAACTTATTCATTTGTTTTTCTTTCAGTGATAACCAAAATAACAAAAAAAAAAATCAATTCAATTAATAATTATAATTATTATTATTATCAAAGCCAATAGCAACCATTTATAAACAAAAATAATAATAAAAGTAACAATAATCTCAATACCCCGTTTAGAACATCCCCGGGTTGGACCTCTTATTTACCTTTTTTTGCGACAAAATATAGCATATCTTCTTCCCCGAGGTATAGTCTATCACTGTACCAAATTTCATCGCAACCGGATGAACAGTTTAGGAATGCATATTCTTTCAGTATTGGCATTGTGGCCAAGTATACAAAAAAAATATTGTGAAATTTTGAGTATTTCTGGATAGCTGATAATGTTATTAATCGATTTCAAAAAAAAATACATAATTTAGTTGAAAAATTATGCATAAACATATGCTGTCTTGTCTTTTTAAGAAGTTTTTTTTAAGTTCATAAATTTATTGAATAGTAAAATAACATTTATATATATATTATTATTTTTTCAAGAAAATTACATTGTTCATGAAAAACCCTGACATTTTCTAATATTTCCCTCCCCTCCCCCGGACGTAAAGCTTATAAAGAGGATTTGTCCTGAGAGAAGAGAACGCCTGGTAAGTGGTAACCCTAATAATATATTATATTTATAATCAAATAATTAGTATGTAGTAGATGAACTAATTTTATAGCATTTTATTAATAACAGTTGTATTATTTAACATTAATTCAAATTAATATACATTTATATACATTTCAAAAACATTATTTGTTATATAACATTATCAGTCATATAATCTGAGGAATATTATGTAAAAATAATTATATTTTGGTTATGATGATTTATTTTTATAATAACTCCAAATAACAGAATGCCCCACAAAAAAATGCAGTGTATCACTCATTAATTTTAAACACAATCAATTTATTCTACCTGTTTATAATTAGAGAATTCAAAGTGAAGCCATCCAATTTCCACAAATCTATTAGGTAATGATGAAGTATGCTGGGTTTTCTTAGGTACAAAACTATAACAAAATAAAATCCAAAATATATGTTGTACCAAATAAATATACTTAATGCACAAAAATTACTTAAAGACTATTAAGTAGATATCTGTTAATTTTTTGATTAATTAATATATTAAAATTATTTTGATACTGCTCAGGCGTGGATTCATTGCCGGCTGTGAGTGCTAGGGTACCATTTGTTTTCTAAGCCACCAATAAAATATATTTATATTATTATTACATACTAGTCTAAAACTCTAAAATAAAAAGGTATAACCATTTTTTTGTTATTGAGCAACTACTGTTAAACTTGTTTAGATCCACGCCTGTTACAGCTCCTTAAATTCATTCATTTTTTTTAAATTTCAATTATTATATAATATACAAACCTTTGATTTGGAGAATCAATGGAAGACTCACAAATGTCATCATTATTTTTTTTTACTTTGGACATTAATTTGTCAAATAGAGCAGATTTTCTTTTGGACACATTAGTCTGTTTAGCAAAATTTATTAATGCTAAGCGATCTCCATATTGAGGCAAAATAGAGCATAAAAATGCATCATCTGTATACATGAATTTTATAACATTTACATCAATCTGAAATACAATATTAATATTTAAGTTGTTAATGAAATATGAGTACCTAAATTTGAACTATCCTCTCGCGTCAGATGTCCTAGGATGCCCCTCAGAAAAGTAACAACAAAATTCCAGGAAGTATCAACTGTATATTTATTCTGATGCTCCAACTTGTAATAGATTAAACTCTTAAACTAATCATCAAAAAAGAAAAACTTATACCTACATCTAAATTTAAAAAAAAATAAATATACTTTCCTCTAAGTCAAAACTAGTAGTTGCCATTAACAAAAAAAAATTATTTAAATTGAGTAAAAATCTAAATATGTGATTGCGTTATCAAAATACAAAAACCAATAATTATTTTTTCTACATTTTTGTATTCATTGATCTCAAGAAAATCCAAAGTGTGACTATGTAACTTGGTCAATTTTACTACACTGAAATTATTTATTTTTTTGAAACTGACCATTTAAAAATAGCTTTGAAATCAATGTCATCAAAATATCAAATAGGAATTTGTAGGAGGATTAATCCAAAAAAAAAACCACATTTCAAAATATTGATCTGCTTATTGGGTGGTACGCATAGATGCAAATAGCGTTTGGGATTTGGAGGGACTAAACTCCTACTTTGATAATATTGAATAAGCTTAAAACAAAATATAGGAAATGTCCCAGCCCCAAAATCCACCTGCCCCCCCCCCCCCGGGCCCCCCAGTTAACGCCTATGGAGGTACAGGACTTTTGGACATACTGTACCTGAATTGTGCAAATCAGATTTGCAAATCGTGCAAAATTGTATCAAGGTTTAACTGCTTACCTTTTGTTCTTCCAATTCATTGGCTACAAATTCGGCGTTTTGAATAGATCTTTGACTTAAGAATTGAAAAATGGACATTGTTGCACACTATTACACTTAAGACTTAACCATAGAAAAAGAAAAAGATGTAAACCTCATGACTCGCGAGACGATGAAAGAATCGGACTTCGGGTCTTCACTCTTCGTCACTACTTACTTTTTCAGTAGGACCACACTCACGAGTCGCGGGTATCGTTACGTTATTCATCATGATATATTGATATAAACAACATGGTATTG